GTCAAAACAGGCAGGTGTCCATTATAAACAAAGTTAACAAAACAACTGCGGGGAATTGTTTCAATATAAAACCAAATTCTCATGACTGATTCTTGGAGCAACATGCACTTCGTGTTCCCGACGGAGAATTTTTTCATCAAAAATATAATTGTAAAGGTTCAAACCGAGCTAAAACTTAAGGAGGGAGTATTGGATTTCCTAACAAATGTACTCGGGAACTACTATTTGTAAACTCAAGGACTTTACACAAAAGGCTCTATTAATCCATTACACCTTAATATTGCCTCTAAGAAAGGACTATCTCACCCAACAACATAAATAAAAATTTAAAAGGCCTCTTTTCTTGCTTTATTACAACGTATGGAAGAAAGGAGAGGAAATGACAGTTGTCCATTTTTACAAATTCTGGTGATTAATGATGAATCCGCGAGTAGTAATTCTAATTTGCTGATATACAGAAAGGCGAATTCAACATCACAGTGATAATATATATTGTGCGTGAAAATATGGAAAGCGAATAATATTATTGTTTATTTTGGTTATTAAATGTCCAGCCAAACTTTTGATTAGCGATGTAATATGTTTCTTAGTGAGACAAACTAAGTAATAATTTTACCGGTCGGAAGAAAAAAAAGAAAAAAAATCGCTTATTAATTTTCTCTCTAAACTCTTTTGGCGATGATGGGTCCTGTGTTGGAAAATTTGTTGCTTACGAAAGACATTCGCTTAACATATCGAATATAGATCTTCAGCGATTTTTAGTTTTGCTGAGGACTAAAAAAATCTCAAAATAAATTGCAGCAGCTCACATTCAATTTCATTCACTTAGAATTAACAGCGAAATTCATAACACAAGATGTTTTGCATAATGTTTGTACTTCTGTTATTTACCGGTTACATGGTTATTGAGATCGAGCGCTTTTCGTGTCATCGAAAATTCAAATACTGGAATATTTAAGAAAGCGCCTCCTTTTGAAAACTACTTATTGGGAGTTTTTGAGGAGTTCCGCAATGATATTAGCAATTTGAGAGTAAGTGTGATCCGCTTTAGGCTAAATTCGAGTGCGGCCCGCAATGTCTCATTGGATGTAAAGATGCCCGGTGTCTCTAATAATTTGATTTTGTTTGCCTTTTGTGTTGCTATAATAGGCTTTGCCCAGTGTTTCTTGGTGTCGACTCAATGCTGCAATTATGTCTTAGCGTATTTGACAACTCATTGGCTATATTAGGGGAACAGGTGATGTTTGAAAGCAGGTGGTAAAACGATTCAATAAAATGTGGACAGAAAACCAGAAATATCTAAAAAGTTTACTCTAGAATTAATCGGTTCTTACCACTTCAACACCTCGCATCCGAGATCATATGGATCAAGGCTCGTCGAGGAGACTTAGAAAGCTTTCATCGAGATCTCGCCGAAAAAAAAAGAGTTTTTTTATCGTAAATTCGGACGAAATTTGATTCGAAGGAGTGAAGGCCTTTGAAATCGCGCTTGTGACAGTTCTGCCTACTAAAAGCGCATTAAAATTAATGAAAATCACCATAAATTTCGCTTACCCGGACAGGCGAGTCAATTTAGAAGACGACACTATAACAAATTCAGATTCGGCCATGTAGGTGTAATTGTTGTCAGAGAGGGATCATCACTCAAAGAAGGACAAGGAAACGGGAAATAGGGCAGAGAGGTTCAATGATCAGAATTCACGATGATAATTTTAGATTCCTCTGGATTGTTTGCAAAGGTAAGCTTAAATCATTTTCCCATATTGAAAGCTGACCTCATATGCGTCAGAAATTCTTTTCCTACTGTTTCTTAATCTGAGTGTTTTTCTCTTACCAGATTAGCCTTGTGATCCTCATGCTGAAGCTAACCATGTCGGTTAACAATAGCGGTAAGTTCAAGTGTGTTTGTCAAGTTACATCCTATCGAACTAAGCTTGTCTCCGATTGAGGAGGCTACAAATAACATCTCTAGTAAAAGTGATACATAAGGCCTACTGAGGCACGCAATGTGTAAACAAAACAAGCGAAATTTTTCACCTGTTTCGAAGTAACTCAGAGAAAAAGAAGCAAGCATACTGATTTTTATTTCCTACTTAAATAACTTCGAATTTTGAGAGCAATCGGGAAGCCAGCGCCTTTGTCATCTAATTTTAATAGCTCTGTGTCCAAACGCGATAGGAATTCTGTCAGCGAAATAATTGTGCGTGGTAACAAAAAAGGGAAAATACAAGAAGCATTGTGATAAAGCTTTTGTGGTAAAATTTGCCGTCATTGAGTATTCCTTTTCTTGACCGCATGCGTATATGTAAAAGATTAAAAATTACAACATTTCTTGACTGCGGAAAGGGAGGCAATTTGTTTGTTATATAAGGCAGACAAATTTTGTTTGAAACGATCACAAGGCAAATACGAATGATTGTTTTCAAAATCCCATTTAAGAAATATAGGATGCGCTACAGCGATGCGAAAGTTAAGAAGCTGTAAGCGTCCATTAAGAAAACAAAAGTGGTTAGCCAAGAAATCTATTACAAAAACAATCGCTTGTTTTACATACCCAAATATGTCATGCAGATATTACCGATGTCTGAATGCATTATGCGAAAAGAAAATTATTGAAACCCCTTGGTGCGACTTTACCTCTAGCTGGGAGGAAAGGGAAGAATTCAAGAAACCGTCTCTATTTTCGTTTGCGTTATTATTATTAATTAGCTCCCTTTGTGCTATTTTTGTTAACACTTCCCGCGTAATTTTCACAAAGGAAGCTATTTTTTGAACGAACTCCAGTAATTAGTCAACATTTGTAAACACGATTCAACTTCGTCTCGGAACTGACACATCTGTGTGTGTTATAGTAAGTTCATTAATTAGAGGTAATGGAAAAACCTCCGTTTTTTCATCAGTTTTTCTTTTCGTTGTAAACCAATGCCAAAAGTATTGAGTTCTTTTTTTAAACGAGCTTTCTGCGATAAAAACTTTTCAATTTCGCGACCGACTATATTTTTGTTGCACAAAAATACAACACTCTTTTACCTCCTTTCTAAGAATTTGAGATTTCACAAATTTTACACGTGCCTTTGACTCGACAAAACCTTACTTTACATCTACTCTTTTTAATATTTGAAAGCTCTCATAGTCCGACACACTTGGACATCTAATTAAACGTAGGCTTATAGAAGTTTCATGGCGTTTTCCCACAAACCTATTGAGTCAGATCGAAAGCATAAACAGCACTTTTCATCATATATTTTTCATGGGCACACGTTCTAAACCTTCTAAGTACGAGATAATTTAAGAATGAGGGCGCCAAAGAGTCGATACCTTTTTGCAATTAATTATATATCATGCCAGTTCGCTCAAGAGAATGTTTGGAGTAAAGATCACGAGTAAAGACTATCAAGTTATTCTTCAAATGAGACAAGACAGCGTGTTATTGGTTATGCAAAATTTGGTTTGTGTTGTATCTTTAACATCAGGTGTAAACATTTCTTGTGGCAATTTCGGCAAAGGCTTGATCATGAAAGATAGATCACAAAATTTAAATGTAAAAGAGATACAAAGATTTTCTTAACAAATTCGTCAAAGTTAAAGTCTTTTCTTTTCAGATGTATCAATTATAGCCCGTACGTCTTAGATAACCTGGGAGAAAAATATCTTTGAGGGAGCATATTTCTTCAATCAGAATGAAAATCTGTCAATTTTCATGAGTGGTAGAGTTCCTCTTCATAATTGGATGCCAGTGTGGAATGAAAACACTGAGATTTATTAGGATGGTAATTTGCAACCGCGTTAAAAGTGTATCAAAACAAACGCGGGTAAGTTTTAGAAAGAGAAACAAAAATGACCAAAAAACAGAAGAAGCATATTCACAAATGCATATTCACTTAAGGTGCAACAAGATAAAGAATGAGGCAAAAATGATAGTGATAAAAAGAAACAAAAAATCAACTTCTAAGCAAAAAGATGAATGGTCATTTTCATTGTTCTAACTATTTGGTGGTTTTTCCCTTGTTTTGCAAGAAATGCTTCGTAAACTCTCGCTTCTTGCAGTTCAACAAAGTCCACTTTCATTGTTTAGCTTCAAGTTACAACTGTATCATTTTCGGCCCTTCCAAAGAAACACCAGAGCTAATCATAGCCTTGAAAAGAAAATTTGAGTCTCGATTAATAAGGAAGAAAATTTTAAAGACAATTTTTTTCTTGCGACGAACTTGCAATACTGACTGCGCATTGTAAGGAAATAGCTTTATCAATGTTTTCCCCTCCAGAGGTTCGTGTCGTACAAGTAGGACGAGTAGCTTCCCAGGTGGTTTGCCAGGGAACCACATTAAAGTTCAGATGCCAAAACACTTCTCTTGCAATGGTCATCTATTCCGCGGTCTACGGACGAGAATCCAAAGGACGCGTTTGTCCATTTGCAGAGGCCTATGTGGATGATTCAGTAATAAGGGCCAATGAGACAGACGACCAGACACCATGCAAGGGAGTGGATGTTACTCGGCAGATAAGAGAGCTGTGCGACAAGAAAAGGCGATGCAATTTTAGCGTAAATGAAACCTACTTTGGAAATCCTTGTAAAAAGATTTACAAATATGTCAAAATCATTTACGGTTGTGGTAAGTTTTTGTTGAGATAAATTTCAGTTTTTGTTTGTTTGTTTGTTTGTTTGTTTTTTTTACATAATGCCACAGACATACATGTTGTCTATAAAACTAAAGTCAAAGGAGGATTTAGCAATATATAGAATGTTCTAAGTTATTTCAAAGTTTGAAAAGATGTTGACGACCGACCAATTTACCCTCTTTCGCTCTGTAAGATAATTAAGGAATTCTTGCGCACGCATTGTTTGAAAATTAATTTAAGGCAAAGCTTTGTAAGTCTCTAACTTAATGGAATTGCACGAATTTTAAAGCTTTTTTTCCTACCAGCTTTAAGAGCCAGTGTAACTGGTGAACGTTTCTTCACTCTCTGTCTTCACAACTATCCCCCTCTTTTCTTCTTATCTTGTTCTTTCTTCAGAGGAGAAATGGAAAATCAGGACTTTCCCTCCGTACACCACTTCTGCTGGTTACGGCACAGATCCCACGACAGTAACAGTCACGAATAATAAATCAAAAACGCCTAAGGTAACACCCACACGTAAAAGAGTGACAACTTTGACTACTCGAAGGAAAAAACTCACAAACACCACCACGAGAAAGAGTCGTGCACGCACGCCTAAACCACCGCATTCAACAAAGCGCACCACTGCACCAAAAACTACTTTTAAACCTACTTCTAAACTCTCTACTCTTTCCTCAACTAAAATGCCCGCGAAAAGGCCAATAACGTCTGCCAAAATGACAAAAACAGTGACACCTACTAAGAAACCCGTCCATGATACTACCACTGAACCTCTAATAGTAAGTAAAGGTGTTGAGACAGTAAAACCGAACATCACGGTTCCGAAATCTGATGTTAGTGTAATAGTAACTAATCCTATAGCCTCGACAGATCCAATCAATGAACAAGACAAACATTCTCCAACCACATCCACAGGTATACTTATCACAATACCAGTCAACGGTACCGATTACACATTAGCAAACAAGACACTGAATACCTTTCCAAACACCGCACTATCAAGCATATTGACCATAACGCCCACGGTACGTATACCCGATGGCAAAACTCAACAAAACCCCTCACCCGAAGCTGCTTCCACTTCTGCACCAGTGGTCATGGGACAGGCAAGCCCAGAAGTCGTCATGGGTGTGGCGGGATCACTTTACCTTTGGTTTCTCCACATGAAAGGTCAGCCTCACGTGGTCGCTTTTGTTTCACGCAAAATTGCAAAGCACGTACTCATTAGGCACTTTTGTGTTTTTTAAACCAGTACTGAGCTGACGAAGACGCAAGAATGTGTTATTAAAGTTGATACACTAGTAGCATTGGGCCTTAGAGATCTCGATTGATGGCATATGTCTCACTGTATAACAAACACGCCAATGCTGATGCTGTATGTTTCACGACAATAGGAGGCCTTGAGGAATTTGCAGGTCCCTTTCTCTCTTCAGTCAAAATGCACTTGAGCAAGAGTGTAACTTAAAAATTGTTATAATCTGGAACTAGTCATAAGCCTTGAAAGCATGAAAGACTAATGTTGTGGGAGGAGAAAAATCCTCCCTTGATTCCAATATAGCCATGTTAATCATCATTTAACGAGGAGTAACGCACTCTTACTATATTCTACGTTTTCTTTAGGAACTATGTCAGAGCTTGATATTATAGTCTAAATACATTCATTAACCAAGTACATCAAAATAATGACGACACTTTTTTAAAAATCATCATTTGTAGAAAACCAAGCAACCTATACTACAGTCTTCATTCTGAGTGCTTTGGGTGCAGCTATAATTATGGTAGCGGTAGTAGCTTGCTTTTTAACCCTCCAGAAAAAGAAGGAATTTATCAAACTTGACGTTATGCATAAACCAAAGAGATTTATTGAGCTTCCCAAGGAATCAGGGACGAGGAATCAGAACGGACATGTTCCTGAAAAAGTTGATAAGCCAACGGATGCAGAGGAAGCACCCGATGGGATGATGGTTCAAAAGGGGCCGGAAGTAGTCTTCACCGCACACGATGTCGATAATCACGTTCCTAAAGAGTTTAACATTGATAGGTGAGGGTAAATTGGGAATCAGTGAATAACAAGTGATTTCTATTGGCTATTATGCTCAATTACATGTAAAAAAAAATTTCAACTGGAAAAATATGTTTCGGTAATTCAAATGCATGGAAGCTATGTTTTCGTCCTTACCAGAGAATCGTTATGGCGTTAGCGTTAGTCTTAAAACATTTGATGAAAGTTGAAATCCAGAGTTAATGTCCCAATATATAATGAATGCAAACTTTAACAAAATTTAGAGACCCAACCGTTCTCGACATTCCAAAGAATCTTTTTGAGAGGAGGACTGGGCTTTAAGAATATATACACTTTCATGTCAAATAAAGTTACCAGCTCCACGAAATTTATATAATTGCCGACTTAAAGCTTCTAAGAAAATTTTCGAACATTTCCGAGCAACCTCCCTGAACAAACTTAATTTGTTGAGGAATCAAACTTCTACAAAAATTGGTCTGTACCTTAATCTTAGTTTAAACTAAAACTTAAAACTTTTCTTGTTAATAATATGTCCATACTGAGGTCGCTTTGGTCTCTTTTTACAACAGGTATCCTGGAACAGAAAATGGATCAGTGAAGAAAGAAAATGAGCCAGGTATTCACGTCAACCCAATGTTTAATAATAACAACAAACTTTTCAACCTTGTAAATGATACAAACCAAACAAATCCACCCGCCAAAGATACAGCCAACAGTCTACCGTCAACCCCATCCAGAAGTCGGATCCTAAGTGAACCCAGAACAGGACCGGCACGGCATGGTAGAGCAAATAGCACTGGTAACGTATCCAAGAGTCACGAAAGGCAACACAGCCAAGGCATATCTGATTACCAAGACGAGAGGACGCGAATACCTCGCCACCTCAGTGCCGGAAATGTATCACATCAGCATCGTCACATGGTCTCTGAACATGCTTCGCATCCTCAATCTCCTGCTAGGACGCTACCCCGTCAAAGAACTCCCACCGGTAACCACTGGCATCAAGCTGCACAACCAACACATACAAGTGGAACTTCTACCCCGGGGATGATAAACAGCACATCGCAGCAACATTTACCAGCCAGATCAGTTTCAGGGGGAACTCTATTGAGTCAGAGCTCCACCTCGAACAGCAGACAGCAAAGTCCGGGTATTGGGCAACTGTCACCCTCAAGAAACCCACAGCGTAATCCTCCTGATCATTCGCTGAGGGATGTCGGACTAGTAACGCTTGGCAGGGATCGAGAGCCGAACAACCAAGGAAAATCACTTTCAATGGCTCCTGGAGAGCAACAATTTGCTACACACAATTCAACACGATATCAAAGAGCCAACGTTGGTCCAAATTCTCTAATGAAAGTTTCCAGCTCTTCAAATGCGACTTTGGGGCTCAGTAGCAGCAGTGGATCAAACAGTCCCTACACAGCTCAACGAAACACTCCCATACTAAACAGGAAATGGAGTGAGGTAAAATCAGAAAGTGATGTTGTTCCAAATATAACAACCAACCCAAATTACATCAACAGGCCGGGCGAAATATGGTTAGATGACAGCGATCCCAACACGGGACACAAGGATGCAACAGGCAGAAGCTTAAGCACTGACCAAGGCAACAAGCAAGGTGGTATCCTTCAGCACAGGAGAGAGTCTGCTGAAAAAAGCTCCTCGCAAGAGCAGTTTTCTCCTAAAGGTACGATGCGTGCTCCTAGCATGGGAGAGCTTCTTTCTCCTTTAGATGCCTTGCCAGATGCATACGCAAATAGTACAAGTTTGCGTTTATCTGACCGGCATTCTTATAGAAATACTCAAGGAACTTCATCTTTTCACCCTTCTTCTCCTCAACCCCCGGAGCCACCAGACAGTTCTGATGATGATCTTTATAGTATCGTAGCTAAGGGCACCTATACATCAGCAGTACCTGACCCTAACTTAAGACACACCACTAGGGATACATCTGTTGGAAGAGAAGGTAAAACCAGAAGTAAGCACGTATATGTAGTTGTACCCTCAGGGGACGGTTCGACTGCGGTGTAACTTCACCTTCAACCAATGGATGAGAAGAGGAGATAATACGCAGCTGACGCAGCCAAAGTCCTTTGAAGAGGACGAGGACGTTGATCATCGTATCAAGCTAGTTTATATAACTTATGCTAGTATAAAAATTTAGTGTGCCGCCCTGGCTCAAGAAATTCCCTGTCTGTGTGCTGGAGGACTCAGTCTGATGTAGGTCGTGGATTGCTACTGGAAAGGACAGCTTAATTAGACTATATTAATGCACTTTTGTTTGGTTATCTTCATTTCTTAATATCTCAAAACGCTTTTTCCTCGTGCACTATCATTTCTAAGTTCTCTGGGGGTCGAGGTATTTTCTCTGACTTTGACTTACACTTTCCTTTGCACTTCTATTCCCGTTTCTCTCGATATCGAGCTACTCACTTACAGTGATCAACATGACAATGTCTTTTTGCTTTACTTCAGTGATAGAAAGCGCCAACGATAGAAATGTTGACGATCTCCAACCAAAAAATACCGAAATTTCTGTCCTCGATAAGATTTTGGGACTGCCTCGATTCTTCTTCGGAAAACGAGAAGGAAAACTGCCAACAGAACAAACCTGATCATAAAATCAAAGTGTGAAAGACATTGTAGACAGGCGAAGGTACATTATGTTTAACAAAAGACATGTACCGCTCTGCTTAAAAATAACTAATCCTTCATGACAAGTATACAAGGCAACCATACAACACACCAGACAACAGTTATCAGGAACCAATTGACAATATTCACCAATGACATTAACGTAAAGTTGACCGGTCTACGGAAAAGAAGGCAAAAGGGTGAGTCGTTCAACTTGAAGGTGAAACTAGTAATATATTTACTCTCTTCAACATTCAAAACAAACTTACAGTAGACATCACTCATCGCATTGTACTGAGTCTTCCAAGACGCAGGACGATTAGCTTTATGCGTCAGAATCAAAAGATCAAGAGGCGAGTTTTCGCCAGTTACGAAACGCCCATGGCTGTTGTAAAGATAACTTTGTTCTGCAAGAGAGATTTTTTGTCTGTAGGTGGTGGGATTTTTTCCAGCGTCGTAGACTTGGTTGACTTCTTCGAAATGATCTTTTCTAAATGAAAACTTTACTCAGATTCTGCCTAACTCAGCTATAGATTCTTGGTGACAGACGCAGAATGTTAATAATTCGGATGGAAGTGACAACGCTGTTGAATGGAATTAGGATTTATTTTACATATTATGGTACTTAGGATTTTTAGCTTTGTTGCGAACAATTTGCAAATTAAGAGCGTTGTAGACTGATACTACTTTTTTTGCAGCAGCTTCATCTTTTTGATATCGCGAAGGGTAAATTGGGACTGAAATTTTTTTATTTCATTCGGCATAACAGTTGAACAGCATTCGCTTTGTTAGGGGGTTTTTATTCTCGAAGGGAACGAGAGCTGGCTTTTGTATGTTAATAAGGGAAATCATCGGGTGTTCCCTCTCTCTCTCTCTCTCTCTCTCTCTCTCTTCATTCATTCGAATCGTTTGCAGAACAAACTCAGGTCTTTCCGACACAAATGGCCTGAGTTTAGTTTCGTTATGGGAATAAGTGGAATTAGGGTGATAATGGCTTTTTCTTTGTTCATATCCCATAATAAACGATTGTGTCTGTTACCTGCTCAAGGCTGGCCCTTGCAATATAGGTGTTTTTCAGTAGAATTGAGCTTATATTAAGTAACGAACATTGCCATCAGATTAATAGTCAAGATTTTTAAATTGTTAGACTTATAATTACCAGTGTGCTCTCCTCGTATAGACATCTTACCAAAACGTTAGCAAAGACTACGAAAAAGAATCAGCATGCAACAAAAGAGCACCTGTGTTCTTGGAAACTGGTGTATTTAAAGAGACAACCGTCAAAGACAGGGCAGCATGTTTTTCGTGACAAAAGCATCTTTTTGTAATGCTTTAATAGGTCTGCAATGTGTTTGTGTGCACCACACTGTGTGCCAAATTTCATAAAACTTTTCAGCTGATAAGTGTTTTATCTAAGGTGCTACTTCAACTTGCAAGAAACCGGACTCGTCTAAGAAAAGCTAGATTGCTTCCAAGCGTTTGATACAAAATCCTAATACTGTAAACATTGCAGGCCTATTTCTGAGGCAGCAGTTTCATCCCCAGGTTCCTTTGTTGTGAACCATGCCATCACAAGAGCGAAAACCTGGAATAAAACTATAGGCTGGGAATATATTCAGCAGTAAATTAAGAAAAGGTAAAGTAATGAAACCCTATTTCTCATTCACAGGCATCAAACCTGTTTGACAAGTCTGGTGTTTAGTCTTGCATGTATGGCGCATTTATAGTGACAGAAGGAAAATAAAATCATGTTTAACCGTACGTCTTATTGACGATACAATTTCATTGTCTAAGTGGCCTAGGGTAGCAACCTTGTAAATGCGGGCGCAACTCGATTATTCGGACACGGGATTGGACTGAATAAAGAGAGTCTGGATAATCAAAAATATGAATGTTAATGAGCCAAAAATAAAACTGAATACGAATCACTTAATCAATACTATACTAGAATTACAGGGCTGTCTTAAATTATTGTGTATCACTGCTAACGTTGGCTAAAGTATTTACAAAGCACTTACGACAACAACGTTTTACGACCAAAAATGCTGACGTAGATCAGTTTGTTTCAAGCTGCTTCAGCGTGCTTCGCTAATTCTATCATTCTTTGAGGCTGATGATAGCGTCAACTTCTGTTTTGTTAAACGGGAAAAAGTTTTTATGGATTTCGAATGTGACTACAGAATAAACGACGATTTTTTTACACTTAATCACAGCAAACTAAAACAGGAATGACCCTGGATAGACATTTTATTTATCAACTTGTGTCCAATGGAACCCAAAATTCTGCTTATTCATCATCGTCATTTCACGGCATAAAGGAAATTATTAGATCATTCAAGTTTTTTTAAAAGTTTGCCATAAAAGATGAAAACAACAGAGATCACAGTTGACTTGCGCAAAACTTGGAGTATTTTAAGATGGACCGGCAGTTTTCTATTTTCATCTATATTCAGTGACGCCTCATATAAGGAGTACTTTGAGTTTGAGACAAGCAAAGAAAAAAAAGCTAGAAACGAATACTAGTTACGTACTTCATGACGTACTTTGGGAGATAGGGCGCCTTTTGTCAAATGGAATGTCATTACGAATAGCAGAGTTCTAAGGTGGTAAATCCTCTCCCAGAAAATGAATCGATGCAAACTATCGATATATTTTATCCGTGATTGCCTAAATTTTTCCCCACCAATCCGAAGCAAATATGAAAACTCCTCACAGAGCAATATCTAGGTCATTACATCGACTAATTCACACAGCGTAAACAGAGAATGGCGCCCCATGAGGTCATCTTCTAAATTAACTAAGGTTATTTTATCCCTGTTGATCGCGTTCTCATGATTAAAGATGATGTTCAGTTTGTCAAAAAGAAAGAGGTAACCAGACAATACAGCCACGCAGTTTTATTAATTTTACATTGAGGTTTCAAACTGCAAACTTAAAATTTTCGTTTTCGGCTTGAAATTATAAGCAATCCATTTTCTATTTCTAAATGCTCTTGTGGCTTAACTCAATCAGCAACCCTTGGTTTACATCTTTTACTGATTAACATCCTGGAGTTCGTCTCTTTCCATTTTGCAAACATCGTTCATGGTAGCGCACATGTTCCTAATAGTCCTCCGGACATTACTTAATTTCTGCAATTGAGTAAAAACGTAACAATTCATTCTTTAAGGTTAGCTGAAGTAAAAATATACTCGTGGGCATATGTACATGACTTTTGTTCCTAGCGATACTGATTCTTGCTTAAAATGCTAGACTACCTCTTTTCCTTCCGATTCGTCATGTTGATCAATAAATTACCGCCAAACATCGCCACAAGAAAGTGATCATGATTATCTAAAACGAAACCGACTACCTTTACTTTCCCTTTATTATTCTCTATCTTTCCTTCTTTCTTTCTTTCTTTCTTTCTTTCTTTCTTTCTTTCTTTCTTTCTTTCTTTCTTTCTTTCTTTCTTTCTTTATTTCTTTCTTTCTTTATTTCTTTCTTTCTTTATTTCTTTCTTTCTTTATTTCTTTCTTTCTTTATTTCTTTCTTTCTTTATTTATTTTTTATTATTTTTTCCGTTCTTTCTTTCTTTCTTTCTTTGCTACAATGTATCTGTCTTTCAAACTTGCTGCTTTGAAGTTTCCCTCCAACTGCAAAATTTGTATATTCCGAATTATGGCTAAGCCAAGTCGCACTTAAGTGATCAGATTTCGAGAAGTATGAAATCAAACATCAGTCCTTCAAGAAAGAGCTGAAAGAGAGGGCAAATTTTACGTTCAGATAGGATTTCTGAAGCCGAAACAATTTCAATGAAAGTAATGGTCACATTATCACGTTTTTATTCTTATTCGTGGGATTTAATTGCAAAAGGAGCGAGTCCGGTCCTTTTTTGTCCAACTACACCTTTTTTCTATCTTCAGTGCGAATGCCGAGTGTTCCATGTAATAACTCAAATATAATTTATCTCGTGCCTTTTCACGCCATCGATGACCCGGCCCATCTAATAACCACAAACGTATAAAGGATTTCAATGAACGTTATCATTTACTGCATTTTTGTAGGGCGTCATTTAAAAAATAACGCAATTTTAAAACACATTTTAAAAAATCTCATTAAAAAAAAAAAAGAATGAAATTTACCAAGACGGATGATCTCTTCCCATTAAAGTCAGGGTTGTGACTTGCAACTGCCTCCGTTTCGGACTTTAAACTGGCTGCTAGCAGAACACAAAATGTTACAATAACAATCTTGCTGTCCATTTCTGAAAAGTAAGTGAAAGATAAACGGCTTTAACCTAAATGAACGTCTGCTCACGAGCTCAAATTTATAGTGGACCCTTGCACATATTTAGTTATCTAATACTTAAAGATATGCCCTCAAATGGGTTCCTTTGACGCCAATATTTAATATAC